GAAGACATGTATCCATGTTATTTTGTCCCAATAATAATTAAATAACTAATATTTATATTCCTGAAATAATCGTAAATTTACTATTCCTACATTTGAGTTTATTTTAATTGAACTAAAACGAGCGCCTTGCTTCCAAAGTTCCATATCTTTGACCATAAATACTTAGAAGTGATTGAACTAGCACAGCACTAGGGGCATCTGCTTTTAATCAAGGGGTGCATACCGTGTAACTTGGTACTAAATATTCTCAAAAAAGGAAATTTTAAATGTTTATTTACTAATTCTTTAATCGTATGTCATATACAGCATTATACACCTCACTTGTGGCATTCTACACGGTGGCTATGAAGTTAACAATACATAAACGATTTGGTCGAGCGTGTAAACAACCTTAAGTGTGGAATAAAGATTGATGACACTCAATTAAGCATATTATTGTACGCTGACGACATTGCGGTTATAGCGCCAGATGAAGCAAGTTTACAACAGATGTTAGATATTGTTACAACATGATGTCAAGATTGGAAACTTCAGGTTAACCGATCGAAAACCAAAATTATGCATTATAGGAATGCATCCGTGCAGCAATCCGTTTTTCCGTTCTCCTGTGGAAATCACGACCTTGACTATGCAGATTCGTATAAATATTTGGAACCTTGGTTTGATGAACACTTAACTTTGAACAAAGCTGTAAAGAAGCTTGCGAAATCGGTTAGTAGAGCTCTTGGTGCCCTATTTGACAAATTCGTTTCGGCGGGAGGTATGACTTGGAAAGTTTACCACAAACTGTACACATCGATGGTAGAACCGATTTTATATTATGGCAGTGGTATTTGGGGAACAAAATCATACAATGTGATAAACAATGTTCAGAATAAAGCAGCCAAATATTTCCTTGCAGTGGGACAAAGAACTTCTAATACGTCTGTGCGTGGCGACCTAGGACTTACTTCTTGTTATACTAAGCAAAAACTGTCATGCATACGATTGAAATGCAAATTAGTCCGAGCAGATGATGATAGGCTGATTTCAAAAGTGGCAAATTGGGCATTGCGTCGTAGAAAGGGCTGGCATTCCCAAGTAAACAAATGTATAAACGAACTAGACGTTTCTGATACGGTCAATAACGTTGGCTTGAGTGTGAAAACAGCAACACGCATTATCGACGACAAGTTACTAAATTTAGATCAAAACCAATTTCTGCAAGATTTGAACAATGATAAAAACAAAGTGAATGGAAATAAATTAAGAACGTACCGCTTATATAAGACGACGATAGAAACCGAAAACTACATTACATGCCAACTTCCACGAACTGTCAGGCGTACAATGGCATTATTGAGGAGCGGGGCACTACCGCTAGCTGTTGAAACACCACGATATTCCAGACCGCAGATACCATTAAATGATAGACTTTGTAAATTTTGTAATACGAACTATGTAGAAAACGAAATACATTTTTTAATGGTTTGTCCTTTATGTACAGACATCCGATACGAACTTTTCAAAATTCACTAGAACTCATTGATGACTTTGGCATAATGAACACAGAGAATAGATTCATTGCGCTTATGCACTGTAAATACATACAAACGTTTTTTGCTCATACATTGAATAGATTTTTTCTTAAAAGAAAAAAATTATTATGAAATTATGATTTGCAAACTATTTATTTATCATCAGTATTATTTTTTCTTTCTATTTTTGTATTTTACATAAGGTTACTGTGATAGTCTCCATTTAATACCCCAAATTTAAATACTTTTATTTTCTTTTTAAAAGATATATTTAACTGACAATTTTATTTACTATAATATCACAACATTAGCATTTTTATAAAGATTTTTACTTGTGTCAAATGTGGAATTTTTTTATGTCGTTATTAAAGATGTGCTTGTAAATAATTTATAAATTATATATTTTAATGTGTTTTATTGTAAATTCAGTGTCTCGCAAGTCTATATCAGCTGGGTATTGATCTTTGTTCATTGTTGTTGTAACTGTTTTGTGTATTGAACTTGTATATTAACCTGTAAGATCAATATGTGACACTTTAATAAAATAATCATTATCATTATCATTATCGTTATCATTATAAAGTTCAATTCTGCTTGAGCATAGAAACAAGAAAATATATGGCTGAGGGGTGTGGATCTTAACAATTTGTAAAATATTTGAACACTCTCAAACGGCAGGAGTTTGGGAATACAATCAGGCCTCATACTAAACATCATTCAATTCGTCTTGTCCTGTGAAACAAGAAAATATATATGGACAAGGGGATGTATGTGAAGTTAGCAGCCGGTTCGTGATTCGTTATTCGATATTCAATATCCAACCGGCTGCTAGCAGTCGGTTCGATATTCAAATTTTCTAAGTTGAATATAATAAAATATTAAACATTCGATGACATTCAAAGCATGATAGTTATAAAAATTAAGAGATATAGAAAATCTTTTTTGTGACCAATTTAAGTTATCGTAAATTCTCGTTGTCCTCAAATATAAACCCTTATGCAAATTGAATATTTCTCTTTATGACCTATAGATTTTTATCAATAGAATATAACCAAGCATGAACATTTAAAAGATGATATTTCAAGAAACAAAAAAGAAACGATCCCTCTATTACGATTTAAAAATATAAATAGAAGCAACTATGGAAAGCCAAAAAAAAAAAGAAAGATATTTTCGAATGACTAAATATTCAGCTATATCCAGGAACTAGGGCCAAAGGATTTGATTGATCTTCCTGATCTCTCAATCTTCATAATATTATGCATATATTTAGTTAATATATAGATATAAATGACATCAAAAGGAATTTGGGTAAACTTTTCGTCTTCTAAGTTTATGTAGGGCTCAAAGTGCCAGTTTGATATTCAAAATTTATATTGAAAACTTACCGGAGACCGCTGAAAAAACAATGGGACCCCCTGGTCTTTCAATATCCACAAAATTGAATACTATTGTACACTTTGTATATATACAGATGCCATTTAAAGGATTTCCCAGAAAACTGTCATCTTCGATATGTACGGAGGGTTTAAAGTGTCACTTTTCAAATAAAAATCGTCAAAAATTCAGGTGAAAGGGCACAGGGCGTTGGCTAGATCTTCCTGATCTCTCAATCTTCATAATATTATGCATATAGTTAGTTAATATATAGATATAAATGACATCAAAAGGAATTTGGGTAAACTTTTCGTCTTCTAAGTTTATGTAGGGCTCAAAGTGCCAGTTTGATATTCAAAATTTATATTGAAAACCTACCGGAGACCGCTGAAAAACAAGGGGACCCCCTGGTCTTTCAATATCCACAAAATTGAATACTATTGTACACTTTGTATATATACAGATGCTATTTAAAGGATTTCCCAGAAAACTGTCATCTTCGATATGTACGGAGGGCTTAAAGTGTCACTTTTCAAATAAAAATCGTCAAAAATTCAGGTGAAAGGGCACAGGGCGTTGGCTAGATCTTCCTGATCTCTCAATCTTCATAATATTATGCATATAGTTAGTTAATACATAGATATAAATGACATCAAAAGGAATTTGGGTAAACTTTTCGTCTTCAAAGTTTATGTAGGGCTCAAAGTGCCAGTTTGATATTTAAAATTTATATTGAAAACCTACCGGAGACCGCTGAAAAAACAGTGGGACCCCGTTGTCTTTCAATATTCACAAAATTAAATAGTATCGTAGACTTTGTATATATACAGATGCTATTCAAAGGATTTCCCAGAAAACTGTCATCTTCGATATGTACGGAGGGCTTAAAGTGACACTTTTCAAATAATGTCCGTAAACATAGAAGACAAGAAGTTTACTCAAATTCCTTTTGGTCTCGTTTGTATCTTTATATTAACTAACTATCTGCATAATATTGTGGAGATTAAGAGATCAGGGGGTCTCACCATCGCCCTGTGCCCTTTGTCCTGAATTTTCGACAATTTTTAGCTGAAAAGTGACAATTTAAGCCCTCCGTAGATATCGAAGATGGCATTATTCTGGGATATCCTTTTGATACCATCTTTATATATACATAGTCTAAGAGATCGTAGAATTTTATGGACATTGAAAGACCAGGGGGTCTCACCGTCATTTAAGCGGTCTCCGGTAGGTTGTTACTATATATTTTTTTTTATTTTGGGCTTTCCATAATTATTTCTATTTATATTTTTAAAATGTTTCTAGAGTGATCGGTTTTTGTTTTTGTTTTAAGAAATATTATATATAAAAGTACATCTTTGATGTCGTTTTATTGATAAAAATCTATATTTTATAAAGTCAAATGTGCAACTAACATAAGGGTTTATATTTGAAGGGGTCATAAAACGATTTCCTACATATCTTTTCACTCCTCTTAACTATGACAATCATGCTTTTAATGTTATCGAATATTTTAGATTTTCAACTAAATTTGAATATCGAACCGACTGCTAGCAGCCGGTTGGATATTGAATATCGAATATCGAATATCGAACCGGCCGCTAACTTCACGTACATACAAGAGGTGGGGGTTCTCAACCATTCTCAAGATATTTAAACATTCACAAACGGTAGGTGGCAGGAACGACTCCTAGGGACTTATTCTACATTTCATTGATTTGTAGAACATTTTTCATTCATTAGATATTCCATATGTATTTCTGTTGTTGCGTAAGTTTGAAAATGTTCAAGGTCAAATATAAAAAAAGAAGAAGATTATTAAGAAGAACACAACGATGAAGAATAAAAAAAAACACCATTTAACTATTTCTTTACAATTGTATTGTCCAAAGACAATCAATTAGCTGAGTGGAAACTCAAATCTGCTGAAAGGAAACGAGGAATGTTATGGTTGTGGATATCTGTTAAAGAGAAGCAGAAAAAGGTGTGTTGTCAAACTTTAATCTGTCTGACAAGATAGATGAAAGAGAGGGGACATTGCAGCATTATTTGTTACATTTGCGTAGCAAATCTTCCAAGTACTGAAATTTATACAACTACATATACCTGATCAGCTAGATATGGGTCTTTTGAATATACTCTATGTAGAGCACCATGGGCAATTATACAATACAGGCAATTATTTTCAGCTGATGTAGCTACGATTATCATTTCCTTATCCGCTTTAGTGAGGTTCCCTATAAAGAAATAAACAAATAATAAATTGCCGTGACTAGCGGAAATGGTTTGATCGCCATTCGTTTTACCGCGAGATTGAATGAGCGTCTGTTATCTTTACCTGATGGACAGATATTCTGCATTGCTTATTTATTTCGATCAAAGAATTGGTTAAAAAATTGTTCAATCGTACTGTGAGTGCGAATGATAAAGAGTGAGCACTGACTTGTTATATTGATGCCCAATGAGAATAGAGAAGGGAAACGGGGAATGTGTCAAAGATAAAACAACCCGAACAGCCCAAGGTCACCAATGGGTCTTCAACACAACGAGATAATCCCGCACCCGGAGGCGGACTTCACCTGACCCCTTAACAGTAATGTATACTAGTTCAGCGAAATGGACGCCACACTTAACTCCAGAACATACAAAATTATAATAAAATGCTCCGAAGTACGCAGCTTGATACGACCGCAAATATCGAACCCTGAACAGTTGGGGCAAGTATGGACACAACATTCAAGCTTGATACAGCTCTGAATTTGGATTGTGATAGATATTTGAAAAAGCATAGGTTTCTGATACAGAATGAATGTGGTCTGAGAACTTAAAAATTTGAAATTGGACATTTACCTTTCATGGTCCAATATCCAAAATCTAAACACATGGTTAGATTCAGCACATCAAAGAAAGTTTAATTTTGACCCTTTGGACCTTAAGTTTAATTTTGGACCCTTTGGACCTCAATGTGTACCAATTTAAAAACGGGACCCAAAATTCAAAAATCTAAATACACAGTTAGATTCAGCATATTAAATAACCCCAAGAATTCAAGACTTTGAATAAAAAATCCCATTGAAATTGGTCAAGAAATAAGCAATTTATACCAAGTACTAGTATTAGAAAAGTATTGTTTTTGGCCCCTTTTTTCCTAAACGTTTAGGGCCATAACCCCAAAATTAATCCCAACCTTCCTTTTTTGGTATGGAAACTTATGGTGCAATTTAATAGAGATCCATAGACTGATACTCAAGTTATTGTCCGAAAACCAGAAAATCCTTGTTTTTGGACCCTCTTTGACCCCCAATTCCTAATCGGTTTGGGACATAACCCCTAAATTGCTCGACACAATATGAAGCCTTATTGAACTCGTTCGCTGCGCTCACTCGACAAAAAGCTTCATATTGTGACTCTCAGCTGATATTTTATAATATCAATATGCAAGACAACCTGATAATCGGTACTTATACGGCTGCAAAAATTTTGCTATCGTATAAAAACACACAATACTAACAATGCGGCGGGGATAAACATGTTTTGTGAGATCTGAACCCTCCCCTATACCTCTAGCCAATGTGGTATAAACAAACACACATGTAGCTATACGCACAGTAAAACTCAGTTTAAGGAAGTCCGCGTCCGATGTTAAAATCGGTAACAGAAGAAACTCAGCAAAATGACAATGATCAACATAAATTAACGAAGCAGTTACTGATAAGTCAGCTCCAGACCTCAATTAAACTGATCGAAAGATTATGTCTTCATCACATAATAATCAAGCACAAACCCTCCAGTTAGGGGTCTAGTATCATGCCATTATAACTTATACGAGAAGAACACATAACACGTATCATACAAACAACTGGTTTTAGAATATATGTGTTTATTTCCGATGAAAAGAACCTATGAGTGAATCAATATCAATTAAAAACAAATGCTATCTTTAATGACTTGACAACAGTATCGTTACTATATTCCCTTGTGAACAAGTCTGTTTAAAGGTTTGGTTACCTTTTCAGGTGAATGGCGACATTTTTGGGCTTTGTATAGAAAAGTTTGGATGTTAAATTCCTAAAAGTATAAGATGTCTGCACGTTGATTTATACAAATGATGGCCTTGTACCGATGATAAAATTTAGTAAAGGTTTTGATAAGTTTGTGATAGTAATACAGAAGGAAAGTTTCTTTCGTTAAACTCAAACACTTCCTTACATACATGACTGAATTGAACAAGTTGAGATAGATAAAACCATTCGATGGTGCCATCTAAAAACGGATAATCAACAATGAGAAATGAAAAATCATCTCTTTTAATCTAAGTTTTAGTATTAAGCTTCCCGTTAGAGGTATTGACAGCAAGATCCAGGTAAGGGCCGTGTTCATTGTTAGTATCAGCTTTATTCAAAGTAAGTTCAACATGATAAATCTCTTTATAGTACATAATGAAGTCGTCATTATTGAGAACCAAAATGTCATCCAAATATCTAAAAGTGTTATTGAATTTTTGTATCAGATGTTGTTTCGATAGGTCTTTGCTGAAGTATACTTTCATCGAAAAGAATACTTTTTGCTGAAGAATACTTTCATTGTAGTAAAGCTGTTAGTTCATTTTACCAGCATTAAAAGTCTGTTCTTGCTGTAAACCAGGTATAAAAAGAACAGTGTTTGAGGTATTAAGAATATTGCTTTAGGCACTTCAGCAACAGAAAAGTTTATCTAATAATCGAATGTCTTTCTTGTCTGACAACCACGCTCAGGAAATAATGACTGCAGGCAATCGATATAGACAAAGTTGTATTGACCACTTCATACAATTTTATAATGTCAATTTCGTTTGTTTTCCTTATTTGATTGCAAAATTTTAATTTCCTATTTGTAGTCTGCTTTGTGGTTTATGAGAGAAGCTGTGAAAGGCAATTATGAGTGGCTGTTCGTGTCATTTGCGCGATAATATACGCGTGTATAGTTATATGCGCGTATGTATACGCGTATATTACCAACATATACGCGTATATTGCTGTCATATACGCGTATATTGTTGTTTTATACGCGTTTATCGCTATTTTACGAAATTTTCCTTTGATCTTGCTGACTGATAATTTCCTTTCTCAATGGAGTCGAGTGATATGAAAATTATCGCTAGAAACTAAGGGGGCACTTGGCGATGCTAATGAAATTGACATGAAATTGACAACGTCGTCATAGGTAAAATAGCGATAAACAGACTATCATTGGTCATCTCAACTCGATTGCTTTTCTCACTTTCGCCGTATCGGCTCAAGCGAGAAAAACAATCTCGTTGAGATGATCAACGATAATCTATAAATATTGCTAAAATAAACGCGTTTATACTTTATTCTAATTTATTTGTTATATACGCGTATATATACGCGTTAATATACGCGTTATTTGTATGAAATCAATATATACGCGTTAATATCAATTCGTTTGTCTTATTGTTTTAACCAATGAAAATTGCGTTTTTAAACTGGTTTGTATATGACAACTGATGCCATATGACGAATATGGCTGCCAACTTTAGCGGAAACTGGGAGAGAGAGAGATTTTTGCAAAGAGTTAAAGAGACCGTTGATGATTGTTTCCGGCTTGGGACAACTGACGCCATACAAAAAGAGATGTTTGACAGTTATAGATTGCAGGTCTAAATCCATCCGTATTGGCCGTTTGGGTGCATAGTATCTGTTGAAGTTTTTTATTCTCAAAACCTAGCTAACAGTAAAGTCTTGTTTTGCTACACTTTTTTGCTAAAAAATAAAAACAACACGTTATAAATTAAATGCGTCCGAAGCGCTTTTCTGGATTTACCTTCATCAGGAACGCTCAGAGCCGAATATTCAAAAGCCAAGGATGTATAAGAACCGAAAAAGATGAAGAGCTATATGACCAAAAGTACACAAAAAATAGCCAAATCCATCTAAGGTGAACCTTGCCTGAGGTAGTTGAAACCTCAGTTTCTTTATAATTTCAAAATTTATAAACAGACAATTTTAGAAATGTTTGTTATAAATCATGTCAGTACCGAAGTACTGACTACTGAGCTGATGATACACTCGGGCATAGTCCACAAGCAGAGGTATCGAACCAGTGCTGTAATTCTCTTTTTATTCACGTCGATATTTTCATTGATTTCGTTTCGCACTTTATAGGTACCCATATATAGGTTCCAATACATGTCCGTTATGATTGTCCTATCTCATCACATGTACAAAATGGAATAAATAATGACAAATCACGGTTTCCACTATATATTTAAGTTTTGAATAACAGATCCTTTTCATAAGTTAATACATGAGTTGACTAGTCAGTTTCATTTATGGAGGCATTGGTACCCTTTGATTATTATCATAGAATTAAAGTAAGCTTAATTTAAAGTCAGTGCATTGCAAAAATACGATTCGACCTGCATGCAAGCAGAATGTACAAGAAGCTGTATGAAATGAGGCAGTATTCAACTGCAGTTATAAACCCTAAATTTTCCCAAACTCCAAGCTTCTACTGCAAATTTTTTTACAGATTGAACAGTCTTTGTAGAGATGTTGAAAGATCTGCTGGCAATATTTTAACAAACTTAGAAGCAAAAGAATTCAGTGAACTGATTGGAACTATAAGAGACGAAATTGAGGATAACCAAACCATAGAAAGTACTAACATTTTCATAATGAATTGCATTATTGTTGATTATATATTTAAGCAAAATAAGTCCACCCCCTTTTATCATGAAGGTCACACCCTTTGTGGTCATGCCTAGGCCAGATACCGCTTTTTGCCGATATGATGTCAAATAAGCATAATTACTCATTATTTTATGGACTTTGCAAAGTTGCAGGTCCAAATTCACTATGGCATTTCGATGGAAACCAAAAACTTATAAGGTATGAACAAATTAACCTTTTATACCCTTTAAGCTTCAAATTTGACATTTTTGCAATTTTTCTTATATTTTGAAAACTGTAATAAAGAAAAATGCAAATTTGATTAAACGGTCAGCAAATGACTTTCTAAAAACATCGACACAGTGTCGAAGTGGTACAACTACCGTTAAATAGGTAATTGTTCATAAAATAACTAACTGATTAGTTTTTGACTACTAGTATCTTGAAAACTATGAAATATATACATGTAATCATCTATTGTAATTGCAGAAAGGAGTGCCATGACAAAGGCTACCTATACGATGAATTTCATAGACATTTTGATGTTCAAAAGTAACAGCCCGTGA